TTCCACTGAGGACATCAAATGTAAGATGAATTAGACAGACTTGATTTGAGTTTGTTGCAAACCTTTGACCCACCGGGAAGATTTATGGGAGACTTCGAACATGCCTCATCTCCCTTGCCTCTATACCAGAGGCTCTCAACCTTCCTAATGCCGTGAACCTTTAATACAGTTCCCTCTTGTTGTGGTAACACCCAGACGATTGTTTCTCATCATAACTTTAATTAATATATGTGTTTTCCGATGATATTAGGCGACCCCTATTAGAGGGTCGTTCAATCGGGAACATAGATTGCATGGTGAGAACCGCTGCTCTATATTCATAATTACGTTACCCATTTTTTCCTCCAATAAAATAGTATTATGCCACCAGGGATTTTTCTATACCTTGAACTTCAATACGCCAACGTCTAACCGCTATCTCATCCTTCAAAGAGAGCTAGATATCACAGGTTGTTTCAAATTTGAAAGAACTGTTCCACACATTCAGCGACCTTGTAATCCAAGTGTACTGAAATATTTAATAGCTCTCAACTAATATTTAACAAACCACGAAGAAACTGACATTAAATAGAAAACACGTTATTACTATAAGTAGTCTTTATAAATGTTCTCGTTAAAATGTCGAGGAAAAAATTTTTAAATCTTCATGATGAGTATGAATACAGACATATTTTAACAAGAATATGGTTTAGCAGATTATAAATACATTCAACATTTATGTGGCTGCAGCGTTTTTGACATTAGTTCTGTTCTATGAAGACCTAGTTGCATAAAAAGAAAGAGGAGAGGGGAAGCAGGAGAAGAACAGAAACAGAATATGTGTCTGTAGGGGGAAAGGTGGGGGTTAAAAAATCCAAAACAAAGAGGAAAGGCAGAATATAAAGAATATAAAACAAAAACAAAGAAGAAAAATAATGTAATAATAAAATAAGAAGGAGGAAAAAAGATGAAAGTGGTGGAGCGGGAGGATATGGAGGAAGATGGGAAACGCAAGGAAGAAGAAGAGGAGGAGCAGGAAGAGAAGGTGGAAAAGAAGAAGAAGAAGAAGAAGATGAAGAAGAAGAAGAAGAAGAAGAAGAAGAAGAAGAAGAAGAAGAAGAAGAAGAAGAAGAAGAAGAAGAAGAAGAAGAAGAAGAAGAAGAAGAAGAAGAAGAAGAAGAAGAAGAAGAAGAAGAAGAAGAAGAAGAAGAAGAAGAAGAAGAAAAAGCATTTTTTATCATCAGCATTATTATACTGATATATATGAAACAGATTGTGTCCGTTTTTTCCCCCAGCTGTTAACAAAAACTGTAGCAGTTTTAAAGCAGACAGCAGTGTCAACTTCTTCTACTGTCCAGAAGGCAGATGTATCCCCGACAAGTTGTTGTGTGATTACTACACTGACTGTCTCCATGGCGAGGATGAGATGGACTGCGGTAAGATTTGTCATCGGAAACATTCAGTCAAATAAAGACCTCAGTTCTTGTCTTTAGTGCATCGAGTATATTAAAGAGGCACCGACACAATTCGAACAATTTAGGGGTAGAGGGAGGTATCCTTACACCATTGTCTACTTCTGATATTATTCGTGAGTCAAAATTATAATTTTTTTTTTCACGGCACTATCTATCTCGGTAAAACTAACGTTATTTTCATCACGGACTGCACATATAGACAATAGCTCACTTCTGATTGGTAGTTCCTTAGCCCCTAAACATTCGCACATGGTTATAGAGATGTTCCGCAATGCAGGTGATATAGCGTATGGTATATTTCAGCACGCCAGCGCCTTAAACATACTAAAAACTTGGTGAAACTGGGTCTAACACAAACCCCACTAGAGAGTGCTGCAACCTATACGTCACAGGCATTCTTTTGCTCGGAATAAAAACGTAAATACAAGACATCGCAGAAAGCAAACAACAGAACGGGACACACCCGTAAACTTCAGGTAAATCGACCAGCCAAACAAACTTGTGAAAGAAAAGTGACCTACTATATTTGGGGAGACTAACGTGAAACTAACCCAAATCTCAATTCAGTTTAAGTGGATTAAGCGTGGTGTATGGCGCTTCTCAATCCCGAAAAGAGAGAGAGGGGTGGAGGGTGTGGAGGGATTTGTTTAATTCCGTGTGTGGGTGATCTTTGCAGCAGACAGTGGTGCGTTGATTTCGACCAAAGTTTCAAGAGCTTACCTTTTTGGGGACAATAACAGACCGTGTATCATAACATTTGCATTGTAAACCAGCCACGAATGCGGGGGATAGCTCTGCGTCGTTCTGTGGGCATCACTACAGGCCAGAGGCCCCAGCCTCAGCCTAAAAATCGCATCAAATACAAAACATTTGGTCACTATCCGTTTGCTAGTCCTCGGCGGGTCAGATTCTGCGGGAATAGCCGTGCAAAGAATACGGAACTTGGTCACGTTTCCCGCCCATCTACACACTTTCTCAGTCTAAAATAGGTCAGAGAGGTTTCACGTTGTACTGCTTTCTCCCTAAAGAGTATCTCGTGTGACCTTGGCTGAGGCTGTGGGTATAGGGGCTTGCGTTAGGGCCAGATCTACATGTCCTTGAGCCGTTGAAAGCTGTGTCGTCGTGTAGTATAGAACACGCGATATCGGCGCTGATGTAACTGGAGGGAAGACAACGTGACATCCCTCCGACGTAAAAGAGTCTGTATGAATGAAAAGTCTGGTAGTGTGTACATCGGAAGGGAAACGTGAACAGTACCAGGATACGCAAATGAAATAACCACATCTAAAAACTACAGAGACCATCTTGGACAACCATACCTTGACTTGCAACATCTGGGTCTTTCTCATGTCTGGTGTCCAGTTTAGATTGCCGGGGTACAACTTAAGTAATACTCTGCCCGGCTCTCTAGCGTAGTTGGCTAAACCGGATTGCGCGGTGACCGGGTGACGAACTCCTTGTGGTCCGGGTTCACTCCCAGGGGTAGGCATAAAAGCCATACAAAAGTAATACTCTTACGGTTGGACAACGCCACAGCCAGATGTGGCAATGTTGTTTGTCATGTAAAAATTGTTCTGACCATCCAACACCGCCAATGCGGAACAACACACGGGTTAGCTCCCAGAGGAACGAAACGATGGACATTTACAGAATAATAATATATAAACTATGAAAATGGAAGCGATCTTTTTCAATTCAAAAAGTAAGGGGCATAAGCATCGAGACAAATAAGTGCACGGATGCACAATATGATAGAGAAGGATGGAGCAAGGGAAATTAATAGGGTGTGGGAGGGAGTTACTAAAAATATAACTATTAGAAGTATGATTAATAAATACAGAGACTGGAGCATACACAGCCCTGCATCTTATATTTGAACGTAAACACGTTTCTAAAATTAAAAATAATGTATACATGTGTCTAATGTCTTATGTTGACGTGTACACATACCATACATTTTATTGACACGTGTACATATGAATGATATTATATTTTAACATGTAAAAAGTAAAAGAAAAAATCAATTTTCACGCCTTTAGGCGCATCGGGCATATGGAAAAAGCACCCATATTTTTACAGACCAATCGGCACCAGGTGGGTAATGTGCTAAGCACATTCTTTACTTCTTTACTTCCCCAGGACTGCCATCCTGGTACCCATTTTGGGCTAGGTATATATTATTATTATTATCTTAACATAGACAGGGAAGAGGAACAAGAGATCATATATTCAACATGCGTTTAATAATAGAGAAGTGTAGAGAATTTAATGTAAATCTGTTCTTATGTTTTGTGGATTATTCAAAAGCATTTGACTGTGTACAACATCAGAAGCTTTGGGAAATCATGAGGAATATGGGCTTTCCATCACATATAGTGCAGCTCATTAAAATGCTCTATCAAGACCAACAAGCAGCAGTCAGAATAGATGGAGAGACATCAGACTGGTTTGGCATCAAGCAAGGAGTCCGTCAGGGATGTGTGCTGTAACCGTATTTGTTCAACCTGTACGCCGAAAATATAATGAGAAATGTAAGAGATGATATAAACAAGGAACAATATGATGCCCTAAACATCGGTGGTCATGAAATACCAGAAATTCGTTATGCTGATGATACAGTATTACTATCAACATCACAAAATGGTTTAGAAAACTTATTAACATCACTCCAAAGAAATAGTGAAAATCATAACTTATTTCTTAACATAGCAAAAACAAAGATAATGCATACAAACAAAACTGCCAAGGAGAAGGAAATATATGTTAATGAGGAAAGATTGGAAGTGGTGGAAAATTTCGAATATCTTGGGTCACTGGTTACCAACAATGGTGACACAATGAAAGAAATTAAACGGCGACTATCAATTGCTCTTCAAAGACTAAAACAACTGAATAAATTATGGAATTGTACAGATAGAACTACAAAGGTCAGATTTTTAAGAGCATGCATCTTTCCCATTGCAACATACGCCTGTGAGACCTGGACACTTACTAAACAAGCGGAACAGCGCATAAATGCATTTGAATATAAATGTTACAGGCAGGTTCTAAGAATATCTTGGGTAAAGAAAAGAACAAATGCATCCATACTTCAAGAGCTGAATATTGAAGAGGGTTGGCTAGTAAAGACAATAAAACAAAGAAAATTGAAATATTTTGGTCACTTGAAACGTCATGGAAGTCTAGAGAGAACAATAATGGAGGGGTATATGCCTGGGAAGAGAGGAAGAGGAAGGCCAAGGATGCAGGATGTGGCAGATGATCTCCAGATGGGTGTATCAGACGCAGGACATCTTGCTCAGGATAGGAAGGTTTTCCGGACGGTTGTTATGGCAGCGAGGTTCGCGAGGGACATGCTACTGAATGAATGAATGAATCTTAACATGTAGACGTGTCTAATATGTTATTTTGTTCGTGTTCCCGTGTCTAATAGGTTTTTTTAACGTGTACACGTGTCTAATATTGTGTTAACGTGCAGACATATGTCTTGTTTGATTTTAAAGTGTACACATGTTTGACATTTTATACACCTGAAGATTTTCCGAGCTGTACACCAGACGAGTTTACGTGCCACAACGGACAGTGTGTGCAGTTGTCCAGTAGGTGTGACGTCAGCAGAGACTGCAACGACTGGTCGGACGAAATTCATTGCGGTAACGTTTCGTTACATTTCGATTGTTGGACGGGGGTGTCAGAATGACAAATACTTCTTGTTGTTGTTCTTGTTGTTGTTGTTGTTATTGTTCTTCTTCTCTTCTACCTTGTACCTCAGCGAAGTGTCGGGGGGGGGGTGGGGGGGGGGGATGTAACATTCGAGGATGAGCTCTGTCAGGAGCACTATTAAGACTGATGTTCATTTCTGTAAGGCTGTTCCTTATGCAATCACTCCATTTTTTTCCGAGGTCTTCTACTCGCTCTATACCCGTTGTAACGTTTCAGTGTTGCTCGCTTGACAGATAGTACCAGGGCAGTCTTGTTAGGTGTCCCAACAACTTACTTGTAAGACTGGCTTTATTCCTAGCATTCGTTTGATTTCGTGATTTCGTAATATGTCTTTCCTTAAAACTGCAGCCCTTCTATGGTATTTCATCTCTGTTGTCACAATTTTACGTTTATTGGAGGATATAAGTGTCCAAGTTTGGCACACTGCAACTGCATAAATTATTTGCTTCAATTATTTTTTTGTAAATAAAAAAAATTTCAGCGTTTACGGCTTAAGGGCTATGAAGAGAGTTTCATGATTCTAGAGTATCGCATTCGATTCAGCTGCAGACGATTTGGCAACATACTGCTTGACGTTGATTTGGACACTGTGATGAAAGTTGAAAGTCGAATTTCAAAGACAGAAAAGGCAATTTGTTTTAACGCGGAATGGCAACAGCTAATGTCACACATTGACCACTGGATTACAGAATGTTCCTCCCGAAGGCGCGTAATGACACGAGTAGAAATTGACGGTGATTATGGTTATGTTTTGATGATAACTAAGATGACTGGTTAAGGTTTTGTTTGGCATACAATTTTTTTTAAGTCAACTAACTCATGACAAACTGTTTATTTTTATTTAGGTTTTTGTTTAAGAAAAATAAAATATAGAAAAAGTATTCTGCCAGAGTGCCGCATTCGCACCCAGTTTTGGCAGCAGAACTTCTTGCGTTGGTTTCGACAGTGGTAAGCAATGGAGAATTACTGAACGTACCATTGGCCTAGAAAAACCGCAGCAACAAAGCAAACAAACAAAAAAATAATAATAATAAATGCTTCGGCTGGTCTGCAACACTCTGTACAGGATACGTAGCGACCTTCATTCGGGACTATCAAGTAAGAATGTTCATTTTCCACGCTTTTAAGCGAACTGGGTGTAAAGTGCTAAATCTATCATTTTGTTAGACCAACCGTCAACATAGCACCGGCAGTCATGAATCCCCAGGGCTTTTGTACCCATTTACCAATTTTTTAGACTGGTCGACCTTTGAGCCAAGGTCACTTTTGAAAAAAAAATATTCTGGCTCAATGCGGATTTAAACCCATGACCTTCGAGCCTCTATGTGAAACAGCATGGCAGCTCCTATTGTGGACTAAATGTTTCATTCTTTATAGTAACTATATCCAGGATAGGTAGTGTCAGAAATGTTTAGTGTCTACTCAAGCAATACGTATTATTTCATTCCTGTTTAACCATTTTGGCAAGTTGGTTATTAATAAAAATGCATCACATTTCTTCTGTAAATCTGATTCTTTGATGTTTTGTCGTTATGTCTACGATTGTGTGAGTGTGCGCGCACATGTGTCTATGTGTGTCTGTGTGTGTGTGTGTGTGTGTGTGTGTGTGTGTGTGTGGTAAGTTTAATAACTGGTTATTTAATCTATACTGAAGTACACAAAAGTTTCCGAATGTCTAGTCACGTGGTCATCTCTAGTGACTGGTTCCTAGACTGTTTACGTATTCTTGAGTGTGTCACTAGTTTGCAGCTGATGACGATTTTCTGGTAAAACAGACAAGTTTCACGTATCTGTTTCAATGTAAACAATTGTTTATTAATTACAAGTTTGCGAAACCAAACCTTTTTCTTCTTTCTTTCTTTCTTTCTTTCTTTCTTTCTTTCTTTCTTTCTTTCTTTCTTTCTTTCTTTCTTTCTTTCTTTCTTTCTTTCTTTCTTTCTTTCTTTTCTTTCTTTCTTTCTTTCTTTCTTTCTTTCTTTCTTTCTTTCTTTCTTTCTTTCTTTCTTTCTTTCTTTCTTTCTTTCTTTCTTTCTTTCTTTCTTTCTTTCTTTCTTTCTTTTTTCCTTTCTTTCTTTCTTTTTTCCTTTCTTTCTTTTCTTTCTTTCTTTCTCTCTTTCTTTTCTTTTTTTCTTTCTTTCTTTTTTTTATTGCCTTCTTTCTTTCTTTCCTTCTTTCTTTTCTCCTTTCTTTCTTTCTTTCTTTCTTTCTTTCTTTCTTTCTTTCTTTCTTTCTTTCTTTCTTTCTTTCTTTCTTTCTTTCTTTCTTTCTTTCTTTCTTTCTTTCTTTCTTTCTTTCTTTCTTTTTCTTTCTTTTTCTTTCTTTCTTTCTTTCTTTCTTTCTTTCTTTCTTTCTTTCTTTCTTTCTTTCTTTCTTTCTTTCTTTCTTTCTTTCTTTCTTTCTTTCTTTCTTTCTTTCTTTCTTTCTTTCTTGCCTTCTTTCTTATCTTTCCTATTTCTTTCTTTCTTTCTTGCCTTCTTTCTTTCCTCTCTTATTTCTTTCTTTCTTTCTGTTTTTTCTTTCTTTCTTTCTTTCTTTCTTTCTTTCTTTCTTTCTTTCTTTCTTTCTTTCTTTCTTTCTTTCTTTCTTTCTTTCTTTCTTTCTTTCTTTCTTTCTTTCTTTCTTTCTTTCTTTCTTTCTTTCTTTTTTTCTTTCTTTCTTTCTTTCTTTTTTCTTTCTTTCTTGCCTTCTTTCTTTCTTTGTTTCTTTCTTTCGTTCTTTCCTTCATTCCTTTCTTCCTTCCTTGCTTCCTTTTTCTTTCTTTCTGTTTCTTTCTTTGTTTCTTTCTTTGTTTCTTTCTTTGTTTCTTTCTTTGTTTCTTTGTTTCTTTCTTTCTTTCTTTCTTTCTTTCTTTCTTTCTTTCTTTCTTTCTTTCTTTCTTTCTTTCTTTCTTTCTTTCTTTCTTTCTTTCTTTCTTTCTTTCTTTCTTGACCTTCTGTTTTCTTTTCTCCTGTCTTCTCTTCTTCTTCTTCGTCTTTTCTTCTTCCTCTTTCTTAACAGTATTATCGAGCCCATGTTCTGTGGTGGATGATCAAATCTTTTGAATCTTCTATGGTTTGTGATATTTTGAAATTTATATTTTGATGAGGTAATATTGCTTCTAAAGGTAAAGCAATAAGAGAAACATTTGGAAAACCCTACCACGTCGTTAGTGATACGGCCAGGAAGACTCCGCTATGTTGGAAACATCCTGAAAAGAATTTAGCAAAAGATCACTTAAATGTGAAACATGTAGACGGAGGAAACGAGGAGGGGTTTCAAACAAACAAAAAGACCTGAAACAAAAGAGGTAGGGCAAATTTTCTGCACTGGATTCGACCCATGCTAACGGCAGGCTTGCACAGTATAACACTGAATGAAGGCGAAGCCTGGAAGTCCTGTGTGACGTCTGCTGACACGATATGATCTTTTTTCCATCTCTCTAAAAATATATTTCCCTCAGTTTAATCCTACTTTATCTTGTCCTTTGTTGTTGTTGTTGTTGTTGTTAACTTGCCTCTTAAACTGTATAAACATATTTGGCATCAACAGAAGAGTTCCAATGTCCAGCTCGCACCAAGAAATGCCATAGTGGTCAGTGTATCAAAGACGATTTCTGGTGTGACCACTTCCGTGATTGTCCAGACGGAAGTGATGAGCGTGGTTGTGGTAAGGCTCTTCTGCCGGTTTTATTCTTGCATTCTTTCCATTTTTTCCCCTTAATTTATACCTGGGCTGCAGTCTCAAGGTTTGACCACTCGGCGATGGAATAAAAGCATTTTGGATGGCAAGCTAACAGGGCTTATCCACAATACTAACTATCCAAAGAATACATTAAAGTATGTGTAACAGCTAAGTAGCAAATGTAGAGGCAGTCCAATGCGGTGAGCTGTTTTAGTGATTTTACAATTTTTATATTTTCTGTTCTAGCTGAGGTTTACCTATTTGCTTGTTAAGAAGTTATACTTTCGGCCAGAGACAAGACGACTTGGGGGTTTCGAAAGGGGGTCTGTAGATAAAAAGCCGCCACGGGGTGCGTAAATTTGAACGTCCGCATGCCTGGACGACCCACGCACTTTAAATTTGGTTTAAAAACCCGGGCACATTTGGCTTTTGTTAGCAGTTGGGAGAGAGACACTGGCAGAAATTTGTACACGATGGACTTTCAAGGATGAAAAAATCTTTTTCCCTAAACCCGGACCGCTCACCGAGGCCCGTCCCCTACGTTTTTTGCCTGCTCCAAAGCCACTGGATCCCTTTCGGCCACCTCACCAATTTTTTTTTATGCCCATTTCCTTCATTACCCCGGCAATCCAATTCTTTCCCACATTGTAGAGCGAAGTGGGAAAAGGGCTCTCCTCCCCTTCGACGGCAAAAACCCGCACTGTGTAACCCCGTTTTTTTTAAAAAACCGCTGCTAAAACACTGTACTTTTCGGGGGGTTTTACAAGTGATTCTC